TCCACAATTCACAATCACGGTATACAGTACGAGAGCACACACGAAGCACTAAAAGCACGTTAACACACGAAGCACTAAAAGCACTAAAAGCACGGAAGCACTAAAGCACTAAAAGCACGTTAAACACACGAAGCACTAAAAGCACTAAAAGCACGTTAACACACGAAGCACAAAGCACAAAGCACGTTAAACACACGAAGCACTAAAAGCACAAAGCACGCACAAAGCACGGTAAGCACATAAAGCACAAAGCAAGCACATAAGCACAAAGCAAGCACATAAAGCACAAAGCACGGTAAGCACATAAAGCACAAAGCCACATTAAGCACATAAAGCACAAAGCAAGCACAAAGCACGGTAAGCACATAAAGCACAATTTAACATTTAATCATGAACACTGATTACATCTTACCGTCAGCACAAAGTTAAATTCATATGCACGTACTTTAAATCACAACCTAACTTTAACAGAGCACTTATCACTGGTTATGATGGACAGACTGCCGTATACACGTACTTGGCGGTTATGAAAACACGATCACATAACATGAAATTGCATTAAGCACAAGCACTATCACTGATCACATTTACAATTACTTTATGCAACCGAGCATTCAAATCACTCATTTGAAACTGCGTAATCACAGGCACTGGTGGTTTAAACACACTAAGAATTAGCACTTGGGCACACAGGTCATTATACACTTCGTATGTTGAATCACAAAGTACCCTTTTCCATCTGTAAAACACTAAATAGTGTAGAAACATTTAATAAAAACACAAATCAGCTAGAAACTCAAAATTGCAAAGTAGAAATACAGAAAAACACTGCTTAAAATTAAATTTCAAAAGCCCAAAAGCATAAAAACACCATTATTATGATAAAACCAACTAAACGAGCAAAAACCCAATCAAGAAGCATGGACACATTAACCCCTTAATTAAAGTCCTTTAGCATTGCTAATTGCATGCAATTGATCCTCACTGCGTATGCCACCATTTTACGTTGTAGTGTTTACCCCTTGAGACACTTTCAAAACTACAACGCGGGTCTTGCAGAGTGCAACTTGCGAACAGGGGAGCTGCTTTCAAAAGGGTGGTAGCTGGCGTGTACTGCAGCATGACCCGCTCGTCACAACCCTGAAGCCCTTAACCCCGTAAGTAAGACTTACTATTATTAAATTAATTATTTACTTCCATCTTTTACAATTTTATTTCATTAATATCAACTGTGTCCATTCTCCTTTTAAAACCAAATAAAAAGTAAAATAAACAAACCAAGGATAAAACGAAACCAAAGCATAAAAAGGAAAACCTGAGATCCCCTCAGTCTGTATATTCTCAAAGGTTACAATGCATATAACACATCCTAACTGGCCTCTTACAAAACATGAATATACTTATCTTTCTCTCTTGTAGGAAATCGAAGAAACAAACAACAAAACAGGAGACGTCCAGTGAGGCCGGGCGCTCCGTGAGCAGCACTGAACTGCCGAGCCAACAACCCAAGAGAGAGTCTAGCATAAACAGGCTCTTTATATAGGCTCTTATAAAATGTGTAAATAATAAAATGAATGAAAATAAAAGAAGTTTACTTTACAAAATTAAAAGAAATTAAAATAAAACTAGAGGCCGTGAGAAAAAGCTAAAATAAATAGAACATAAAAATACGAAAAATAAAAGGCTCCAGGGACGCAAAACTGCAGCTGGCTACCGCCGATCCCCACAGATGGTGCTGGTGCTGGCTAGAAAAGGGGGGACTCGCCTAGTCTGGACTCCTGCTTAGTGGGGGTACCTCACGTCCACTACAACGCAATCGCCGTCGGGTCCTACAGTAAATATGATATCCTCTTCGAAGAGGAACATAAAGTCGCAGGGAGGGAGAATAAGAATAGAAAAAGGGAAGGCTGGACATGACGATAAGCGACAGCAACAGGCCGACGAAAATCGTCAGGCTGCCCTTAAGCTCGCTTTGCTGCAGATGCAGACAGCCTTCCTTGGGAATGACAAAGAAATCCTGGTGGACAGGATCCTGCTGGCGGGGCCTGGCAACATGAAGGCCCTTCTTCTCAAGATTCTGCCCCGAATCTGGCCAAGGTCACCGAGAGCATGACTGTCAGTCGCTCTGGCAGGTCGGGGCTCTACGATCTAGCGAAGATGCTAGTGGCCGAAGAAGAGACGCGGCGGAAGGAGGCCATCAGGAGGGCTAAGCTGGAACGCGCTCAGCAGGTCAAGGCCATCTGTGCTCCGGCAGTTGACAACGGCAAGCAGAAGCACCAGCCGGGCCGGAGCAAGCATCGTCACGGCTAGCCCTTATTCCAGCTAACCTAAGCTGAGAAAAAGGCTCAGGCCGAGGAAAAGAAGCGGGCCAAGCTCGCTCAGGCGGCGCACAGTGGTCCCAAGCGCCAATTTCGTGGCCACTCGTGATTTGCGATCGTTAAACAATCATTTGTGCTTCCATCGTTATATATGATTACTATTAGTCCATTTCCATGAAAGAGTAGATGTATAATTAATATAGGATGCAATAGAAACCTTAGTTTCACTGGGGAAAATTAGTCATAAGTTCATACATCCTGATATATATTGTTTATCAGGGTACATACCCTACTTTAAAAAATGATTTTCAAACTTACACAAGAGCAAAAACAAAAACTTTTAATTAAGAAATACTACATGAAATATCAGCTATTACCGAGTAAATATATAGTAATCAAATTACGTACATTATACAATAATGTATATCGTACTGATCTTGAGAGTGAATTAATCATACAGCATATGCTGTATCATACAACTATATGCTGTATGAATTAATAATACAGTATATAGTTAGCTTTCTTCCATCGCTTTTAAAAATCACACTGGAAAGCTACAATGTTTACTTTGTTCATAGTTTTCCTGATATTAACTTTTTGGTGTTTGATTTTGATGAATAAAACATGTTCGAATGAATGCATTGTTTTTGAAGAAATATAGCTGTCAATTACTGATTTCCTAGTACGACCTGTCATCTGCAATGAAAATAAAGACATCCAAATAATGACAAAGTTAAACATCAGTTTCCTCGTAAAATGACATTTTCTATGTTTTGAAAGGGGTAACTATTATAAATAATTTGTACTAATTATTTCATCACGCATCAGTAGGGATCATCTTTACACTGTTTGTTATGTTCAACACATTATTCCACTATCCCTAACGTATATGTCAAATAATCAGGGATCCAAAACCACCTCGGAGAAAGTATTGTGATAATAAAGTTGTATAGAAAATGGAGGGCATTCCCATTTTCTATGAATTACGCGCGCACATTACGAAAGAGCCGATAGTCAAAACGAGGACAAATCTGTTAGATTAATAGCTATTGCTACTTTTGGTGGAGCTCGGGGGATTTGATTCAAATTGCACATTGTTATTAGTATATTTATCTCTACTTTCGTGAAAGTGGCAGCATCTTTCTCTTATTTGTAAATGAATTGCATTTATGTAAAGTCCTCTATTAAAATCACAATATTCATGATACATCATTAGTTCAAAAATTTTCTAAAGCCCT